TGTGGAGCCCACACAATGACAATGCCTTTCTCCTGCCTGTCAACAGACTGGAAATGTGCCAGGCCTGGATGCAAAGTGTCTGATGAAGGGATTTTAATAACCAAAGCCAGCCTAGAGGACAAGAATGTCCCAAGACATTCTTTGAGCTTCTGGATAAAGTCATTCCTGAACCAGAGGACTCTCAGTTCAGTTAAAGCAGTCATTTAACCCTCCCTACCCATTGCTGCTTTAGAGACTAACTTTAAGATGGTTTTCTGCCACCTGCCAGTTGAGGCCCCTGACACCACTGATGTCTCAGGATGTGGCAGCTCTGGTCTGAGTGTGCAGTCCCATCAGCAGCCTCATTTCTCTATTCATAACAAAAGAAGCAAGTGAACTGTGGGCCAGATCTGCACTGCCAGGAACAAATGAACTGTGTGTGGGCCAGATCTGCACCACCAGGAACACATGGGAAACACAGGCCATCGGGACCTTTAGGGGCTGGAGATGGGCTTCAGGAATCATAGAGCTTGCACAGCAAGAAAATACACAAAACCCTGGATTCAAATCCATCACCATATAAAACAAGATGTGATGAAACACATCTATAACCTCAGCACTTGGGCAGTGGAAGCAGGAGTATCAGGAGTTCAATACTAGCCTTCGCTACATAGTGAATTCAAGGCTAACCTGGGTTACATGAGATCTTATCTCAAAATACCCAAAAGACCTTTTGCTGTGGTGTTCTGCCAGTTTCAGAGTCCTGACCACCACACCTCCAAACACATTCTCTTCTCTGCTTGTCTCCCTCCTTCTTTCACTCTCTCTTTTGGAGGCAAACACAGGACTATCCTACCCCAGGCCTGCGCAGCATTTCCTGACAGGCCCAGGAAGTCACGAACTACTCGTCTGCCTGTGACCAACGCTGTCTCTGATATGAGCACAATGATCCATTTCACCTTACCTACTTAAGAAAAAGAAGTAAACAAAATCAAATATGACATGAATAACTGCATTACCAGGAAGAATAATGACATAATGAGCTACTTAAACCAGACATTTCCGCCCAAACAACATTAGGATCAGACCAGAAGACCTGGGGCTCCCGCCAAATGGGCCCCTAGACCTCAAAAGGCAGCGATGCTGTGGCTCAGTCCCGGACTGGTCCTGGGCCTTGGGAAGTGGCCACAAAGTGCTGGGCTGCAGGAGGCCTCACAGGATCTGTCTCTGGAGGGGGAGGGAACAGAACTCCACTTCCCAGGCATGGCTATCACCGTTAACTGGCTTTCTTTTAATGAGCAGCTTTGTAAACTCAAACATATGGAAAGAGGAAACTTCATATGCAACACTGGCCAACATGCAAGTTAAGATTTTAAATAGCTCCCCCTCAACCCTTTTGGCCTTTTGAGGCAGGCCTCATGTAGCCCTGACTGGTCTCAGACTCCTAAATGAGGATGTAGATGAGCATGGCCTTGAACTCCTGATCCTCCTGCTTCCACCTCCTAAAATCAGGATTTCTTTCTAATAACCAATTCTACTACTATGCTTCTTTTCCACATCAACCACATCACAAAATATTAAAGGGAAAATTCCAGAAATGGTAAGTTTTAAATAACTTCCACTGCAGTATGTTGTTAGAGCTGTCCCATTTCATCTTTAGTTGTTACTATCTCTCTATGTCTTATTAATGAGACGTTTGATGCTGCTGGGGATCAAATTCAGAGCCTAACATGCATCAAACACCCACTACCGAGCTGCACCCAAGCTCCTGATCCTGTTTGTAAGTTAAGCTTTGTCATAGGCAGTCAGCATAGAACAAACAGGGTATGGAGGAGGGGGTCCCTGTGACCTCAAGCATCTCCTGGGGGTCTTGAACACATCCCCATGAATAAGGGGTACTTTCTCTCCATAAATACAATAGTTGGTTTTGTTTATTGTCCTTTTCTTTTTTGTTACCCGCAGAACATTCCAGAAAATGTTGAGTTGGTAGATAGATTTAGGCAGTGGCTTTACAAAGATGAAGGTCCCAATATTCTCCAGAAAAGCAGAAGAAATGAAATATCTCTCTCCTCTGTCTCCTTCTCTCTTTCTCTCTCTCTCTCTCTCTTTCACTCTCTCTTTCTCACCTCACTACTTGTATGTAATCTCTGCTTACAGAGCTCATGACAAGTAAGCAAATAATGGTTGCCTACCAAATCAGGGAGACACAGCTTATCTAGCAGGATGAAAGAACAGATGGTATGCAGCAAGGTTCCCAGGCCTTGGGGAGCCATTTCCTGCTACATAAGAGATCCCTGTCTCAATAAATATTTGCCCAGCACCTGCAATGTGCACCATCAGTGTTAGACAGTGTATACTCCCACACAAGCACAGATCACTCATTTCATAACTAATCAATTGCGCTGTGTATATATTCATGCCTGTGGGGCTGCAACCCCTAAAAAGAGATACCAAACACTAATAGTAGTTGTCAGTGGGGATTAGCATTGAACAAGATACCAGGAGCATTATAAAGTTTTTTTTTTTCTATGCCTCCGTAAAATGTGACTTCTTTATTCAGTGAGCATCTGTTGCCTTTGAAATAAGACAGGGTAAATTATTTAAAGCTATACATGCAACACACATCACAACCTCTGTGTAAGTATTGTGAATGACACAGAATATCTAACTCAGGCTTGTGAATAAACATTTAAAAATTTTTACCCACTGGGCTCTGTTTGAAGGAATGTATACAGTATGGATAATAACAATCTTCACAGGCTTATTATAATATGCTTCCCTGAGTGAGTTTAAAGCCTGGTGATCATGGAACTGGGGTCTAACATCCTCCAACTGAGACAGTGCGGGAGCCTCCTGCTCCCATAAAATGTGTAACCCCTCAGGGTCACCAGGTAAGCCCCCTGTCTTTAAAAGCTGGGATAATCTGTCTTCTCCTCGATTGCCCTTCATGGTTAAGTAATTCAAATGTTTTGCACCATTCCAAACTAAGAGCAAAAGCTAAATTTAGATGCATACTTAATGGTGTATGTACATTTCCAAGTCACCAGCAATCTATCACCAAAAAGAAAAAGACTAGCCCATTCCAAATATAGGAAAAATCCACACCTGTGTATCAGCCCTGTCTGTAGTTCCCAGTCTCATAACAAACAAAATTTGAAACATTTAAACATTAAAATATAATAAGCCCTCAAAATAATCTTCTATGATCCAAGAGAACAGAGTAATTTCTGTATCCCATAAACTGTGCATAATGAACACACCTGAAAAAATCAAGCATAAATAATAACACACCTCCCTCAGCTAAGCCATGCCTCCTCTACTGTGCTCTCAATGACACGTTCTTTTAGAATAAACAGCACTTGATATAAATTATATCTACTGAGGAGTTAAGTTGATGCCATTACATGAATAACTACAAACATTAAAGTTTCAGAGTGTTTGCCAGGAACCTCCCCCTATGAGGTGCTTCTTCTACTTTCCTCTACTTGCTCAAAGAGAATCTGTGGCTGTATCATGATGGAAGGCAAATGGTTACAAGGGCACATCCTACATCCAAAATAGCTGAAAGTGGCACATGCAGACTCTTTCTGCCTCCTTCCAGGGCAAATGAAACCAGGGTTTGGGTATGAATTCAACTCTATGGAACATATAATGTCTGGGTCCTTTCCTAACTATCACCATCATAACCACCACCAACAACAACACCATTATAACCATCACCATCATCACCATTACCATCACCACCATCATCACCATCATCACCATCATAACCACCACCACCATCACCATCACCACCCTCAGCACCACCATTATCATTATCACTACCATCATCACCATCATAACTACTACCATCATCATCACATCACCATCACCACTATCATCACCATCATCACCATCATCATCATCACCATTATCACCATGCAATCATCACCAACATTACCAACATCACCATCATCACTAGCCTCACAATTGTCACCAAGATCACCATCATCACCATCACTATCCTCACCATCATCATCACCTCCCCCACCATCATGTTGCCTGGAGTCTAAAACTCACAATCACTTGATTCTGTCACCACCACCCCCATGTTATACACAGGCAGGTCCAGTTGGCTCACCTTCTGCTTCACAAACAAGATGCAAATGGAATAATTATAGCAGCTAGTACCTGGGCATCCTGCAGGGCCCCAGCCTGTGGCAGCAGAAGCAGCTGGTTATTTACATCTTAAATCCATATCAGGATCACAGTGCTAACTTCCTTGTGTTCAAGCCACACTTCTCTCTGTACAGAAAGTCTCAGACAAGCAGCACCCAGAGGAACCACTCTTGTCTTGAGCAACGGGTCTGGTCCCTAACCACTGCATGGGCTTCGGTGACGCCTGGGAAACAAACAGAACTGATTTCAGTGCAGACCTTGAGAGAGCACCTCCCCTAAGTCTTTGCATTCTTCCTGTCTGAAGAACACCATCCCTAGCACTCTCCTGTGTTGACAATCTGGATATTATGCTTGTCACCCTTTCCCAGTCCTCTCTGCCCCATTGAGATGGTTGGCACGTGAGGCCAGTGACCTTCACACACCAACAACCTGGCACACAACTGTGCACCACTCCTCAGGACTTCACAGTAACCTCCCAATCCTCCTTGCTGCCACACTGACCTACAATGTCACTCAGAGTTTAGGGTCATCTTAGTAAACAGAAAATTTGATTTCCAATCAACAGCCTATGCTAGAGCCTGAGTTCCTAAGCAAACTGACCCTGCCTTCCTCTCCCTGGTTAGTGAGCTCCAAACAGCTCAAGAAAGTAACCTCCGGAACTTCGCACTGCCCACCTCCCAGGATGCAAGAGCTCAGCCCACATTTGCTGTGGTCTCCACTCCAGCCCCCTAAACTAACGAGCACACACAGGTGACACTTGATACACTCATCTTGAATAGATTCCTAAATGATGAAGACCAGACAAAGTCCCTGCATGACACAGGAGGGGGACAGAGCTTCCGAAAGAACAGAGGACAACTTACCGCCAAGCTTTATGGCTGGGTTCCCTGTTGTACCAGTGTGGGGCTCACCAAATCTGTCTTCAGCACCTGCAGTCTTCAGGTGTGGTGGGTCATTTCTGAAAAGTAGGAAAGAGTACACGTGAGCTTCTGTAGGGCCAAAGTGGCTCCAGTTGGCTCTCTGCCTCTTCCACCTTCCTCCTTGCCTCAGAGGCAGAAGAGGCTGGGGTGAGGCTGCTCTGTCAAGATCAATACCAGCAGAGAGAGTGACTTGACTCAGTCTTCCCAGCCTCCACCCCTTTTTCTCCAGCCAAAGAGTGAAAACCCATATGCTCTTGACATGGTACTTCTTTTTCTTTCAACACAGGGTCTCATGTATTCCAGGCTAGTTTGAATGCACTACACATCCAAGGATGACCTCAAACTTCCGGTCCTCCTGCCTCTACCGCCCAAATGCTAAGATTAGGGGTGTGTAGCACCACACCTGGTCCATGCAGTGTCAGGGACTGGATCCAGAACCTCACACATGCTATGCAAGCACTCTACCAACTAAGCCACATTTTCAGCCCCTCCGTGAGCCCTGATTAACATCCAAGTTCTGGAATCTGCAAGAGAAATGTGCATCAGGCTAGTTCTAGGTTATTTTTCTGTTGCTGTGATAAAACACTGATCTAAAGCAACTTAGGGAAGAAAAATGTTCATTTGGCTTGCAGTTCCAAGGTACAATCCATCATTGAGGGAAATCAAGGCAGGAACTCAAGCAGGAACTGAAGTAGAAACCATGGAAGAGTCCTGCTTACTGCCTTGCTCACTGGCTCATGCTTAGCTAGCTCTCTTATACAGTCCAGGTCCACCTGCCTAGGAATGATGCTACCCACAGTGGGCTGGACTTTCCTACATAAATCAAAATAAAGACAGTCTCTCACAGATGTGGCCATGGGCCAATCTAATCTGAATAATCCCTCAGTTGAGACTCCCTCTTCCCCGGTATCTCTAGGTTGTATCAAGTTAACAATAAAAACTTACAAAAACAGCTCATTACCCAGGCTGGGCTGACAACAGCCCTGGGCAGAACTGAGAACTCAAGTCAACATGGAGCTTACTCTGTTCCTTCCCTTAACCATCAAAATACAACTGATGCCCTCTGGGTCCAGAAAGTATAAAATCTATAGAAAAACCAACATGTATGCTATACGAAAGTTGAGGGAATTCTCACCTAGCCACCAGATATTTAAAAACAGAAATCTCTAAGTGTCATCTGTGAAAAAAATTCTTGGAAAGAACTGAATTTTACACTATTCTGCAAGGCTAATTAGCTTCAGTGGTTACAGAGTGGTTGGAAGCTGTTGCAGGTTCAGAGTCAAATCAGACTATCTTCAGTCCCCTTAATAGTCATTTATTGCCCACCCCTGTAATGTGGCCTAACATCTTTGTAACCACTAGGTAAATCATTTGGGATATACAAATAAAGCCCTTGCTTTCACCATCCAAAATACTGAGCGTGTCATCACACAGCATCTGGGGCTGTAGCACAGCTACAGCTTTGTTGTGATCTGCTTACCTGATAGTCCCACCAATGTACTGGGAAAGTGCCTTGATGCATGCCTTTCTCTGTTCTGTTACCATAAAAACTTCACAAAACTGTTGCCATATCAGGACATGAAATTCGGGGTAACCTGAATCCATGTGGTGGGATCTTTTACAGCTGGCTCCAGAATAAACTCTCTCTTATCCCCTTTGAGATAAGAGTTGTGCTTTTGCCTGGGCACACCAGACTCTCTAATTGACGTGTACAATCAAAACATCCAAAGGTGTTTCACTTGCCTTTTATTTTTGTTAAAACAAGTTTTCAACTCTCTTAGGATAAGATGGCAACCTGAATGGCTCTGCATTTTATCACAAGACTCACAAGTGACCCCAGGGTTGGCGGGTGGGGGGGTATTCAACACTGTGAGTGAGAGAAAGAACAGAGACAGCCAGGCTGCAGCCCAGACTTTGGGATTGAAAAGCAGTCTGCATGGCTGAGATTCAATTTATTCCAATTAAGCAAGCACTTGTCCCGCACCTCCTCCCTGCCTGGCAGTCCCGAGACCAACGGTAAATGAAATCAGGTTCTTCCAAGACTGGTGGGGAAGATAGGAACGTGTATGCATAATGTTAACTCAAACTGGAATCTAATAAGATTTAGGGTGATGTGCAAGGAGATGTGAGGGGAGGCCGTCTAGACAGGAGATGGAGATAGAGCCTTGTTTTCTGGGGCTACTTAATCAGAGTACTCAGGATGCAGAGGGAGCGGGCAGTGGTGACAAAAGCTCACCATGTTGGAAACAGAGAAATGAACAGTTTGGTTATGGGTGACCCTACCAAGTCCACAGGCATCATGTATGTACATGAACCTTACCCCACAATAGCCTCACTAGGTAGAAAACTGGAAATACCATATTGAAAGAAGACAAATCCAGAGCAAAGTCTTTCCTGTCATTATTCCAGTCCCTCCTAACCATCTAGACTCAGCCCTGGACACTGAAATCTTAAATCACCAGTAAACAAATGAGACAATGAGATGACTCAGCACATAAAGGCACTTGCCACCAAGTCTGACAACCTGAGTTCAATCCCTGGGACCTACATGGTAGAAGGAGAGAGCTAACTCTGGCAAGTTGTCCTCTGACCTCCACAAGTATCTTGAAGCACAAAGTACCCACACACATACACTCACATAAAAAATGAATAAATAAGTGGAAAAAAGAAAATATGCTTAAATAAAACTAGGAAGAAAGATATTATGTAGGAAGATCAAATAAGCTTTCAAAAAGGAAATGTAACAGATAGCTTCAGAAAGCATGTGAAAGTTGAGAGTGAGACGCTACACAACAAAAGGGCTTCTTTGGGGGAGGGGAGACTGTTTTTCTTTATTTCTCTTTGTTTGGGGGCTTTGTTTAAGTTTGTGGTACAGGGGTTAGACTGATAGCCTCCTGCCTGGTATGCAGGTACCAAAAGTAACTCATAAGTAAAATACAGTTGCTAAATAGGGCTGGCAAGGTGGCTCAGTGGGTAAGGGCATTTGTCACCTGATGATCTGAGGACCTGAATTTGATCCCCAGAAGGAGAGAACTGACTCCTACAGTTTCTCTTCTGGCCTCCGTACGTGTCAAGGCACATATGCACATACAGATTGATTGAATAATAAATATATGATAGATAGATAGATAGATAGATAGATGATAGATAAAAAGATAAATTTAATTATATATATTTAGTTGCTAAAATGAAATTATAAATGATATATTTGAAAATAGGGTTAAGAAAATCTCCTTAGGTAAAAGAAAATATTTTGAAAGCCCTTAGAGATCAGTCTAGATCAACCAGCTTTTACCTGGAAGATTTCCAAAGGTCTGGGGAGAGTTATCAGCAGGTGAAGTGCTTGCTTTGCAAGCATGAAGACCTGTATGTTTGGATCCCCAGCACTAATATAAAAGCCATGTGTGGTGGCACACATCTTTAACCTCAAAACTGACAGGGAGATGGAAACAGGTGGATCTCTGGTGCTTACTGGACAGCCAGGCTAGCCTAATAAATGAACTCTAGGTTCAGTGGCGGTCCTATCTCAAAAAAATAAGAAGGGAACTGGAGATGGCTCAGTGGTTAAGCTACTCTTGCAGAGGACTAGGGTTTAGTTCCCAGCACCCACATGGCAGCTAATAACTGTCTGTAACTTCAATTCCAGGAGATCTGACACTTTCTTCTGGCCTCCAAGGGCATTGCACACACGTGGTAGACCTATATACAAGCAGGCAACACATTAAAAAAAAAAAAGACACATTAAAAAATAAATCAAAAATATTCTTAATTTTAAAAATAATAAGATGATGAGTGACTGACCATTGACCTCTGGCCTCCACATGCACACACACACACGTACACACACACACACACACACACACACACACACACGATTTCCATGAAGAGAAAATGCTAATAATGCCTTTCAGATTAGAGTCCTGGGAGCACTGTATGCAGTCTGTGGGAAGGCCATAAAGAACAGCATGAGGTGATAAGAGAGCAACAGAGCCAAGACCCAACACACTTCTGATAAGAATTAAAAGCAATTTCCCAATTCTATGCTGGGTTTTAGGAGGGTCAGCAGTTCCTCATCTAGCAGTATTCAGTTGTCATAGAACTGGGAAATTGAACAGCAGACCCCAATCTTATCCAAAGGAATATTGACAACGGATTACCACTAGATGAGGAACAGCTGACCCTCCTAAAACAAAGACCTCTAGATAGGCTGACTAGATTCACCAGAAGGACAAGTAGGGGGGAATGGCTGGGGGTGCTGACAACACAGCAGACAGTAGCAGGGATATCAGAGTATAAGGGCTCTAATTGGGGGAGGGAAGCTATGGGAGGGGGCCATCTGGGAAGTGGGTGTATAGTTGAATAAGATGGTTTGGG